GAATATTTTTTATTTATATAGTGCTACATGGTCAGAAGGGTCCAAGAGTGTTTCATGTCATGCAGCACTTCCGAGTCATCAGCAGGAGGGAAGAAACCCAGCAAAATGCCCACTGCACAGCACCACACATGGAATATGGGCAGACAGAACCTTATTGCAGAGTGGGAACTCACCCACAAAGAGGGCAGTTGTGCCTGCATGTACAGAAGACACTAACTTGCAGGGTGGACTGGGCTTGTTGTGCATGTGGCAAGGAGAAATGGTGCTGGTAAGGACCGTACTGTTATCCATCTTGGCATCTTTTAAATAATCAATAAGGTCACTTACCAACTGGTAATGGTGTCATCTGACAACAGAGGTATAACAGCCAGAGCCTGGGATCTGGGTTACAGCAAGAGCCAGGCTGCAGTAGCTGGGCTGACAGTGGTGGTAGTTGCCTGTAGGAGCACCTGTCCCCAGGGGTGGCCATGATGCCCACTGGTAGCTATGCAAGTCCTGTCCCCATTCTGGTTCCTCAAGGTACCATCCCTTTTTTACTTCACCTGCCACAGCTTGATTCAACTTGTAGGGTTTTGGGAGGCTGCCCATAGGGTCCTAGTATGAGCCCAGACCACCTCAGCTTTGCTCCTCAGGCACCAAGTTATGGCCCTTTTGCCCCTATTAGTTCCTAAGGGCACTAGTTGCTTTATGAGCTATGTTTGTGGCCTCCATCCTCCCCTAAAGCCATGTCCATGCCTTGCAGGTGTTACTTTGAGTTCTTACACTGGGCCTATCCATCAACCAATCCACTTTGCCTGCTGGGCCCCTGGCCCTGGCAAGGCTCTCTTTTCTACCCGAGTCCCTGGCCCTAATTTAGCTTCTGTCCCTTGTGGGCTTCAGCCCCTTCAAGGAGGCTTTAGCCTTCTTAAGTCTGCTCTGCCTTCAGCTCCTCCCAGACTTCAGCTTCGCTACCTTGCCCTTACCTGGAGGAGCTAGGCCAAGGCCAGGAGGGCTCTCTGGGCCCCTGGCCTCAACACAGCTACTGTAGCTCTGTCTCACCCTCAGCCTGCTGAGTCCTTGAACCTAGGCCAGTTTGCCTGTCACTAGCACCCACCAGGCACTCCTCCATGTCCTCCTTCCCCCTCTATAGCCACCATCTAGTCTTACAGTCTCAAACCTAATCTCAACATAAATACCAGCAAACTGCTGTAGAACTAAACCCACGCCACTCTAAATCACTGCCAGCCATAAGTTTCCCTCAGGTCTCTCCTTCCAGCTGTATTGGACATCTTGGGTGCCCACTGGTCTGTTGCTTGCATCAATCTCCCTAGGAGCTCCTCTCCCTGTAGCATGCAGGGCCAGACTGACTGTCTAGTGTCAGACGCTGGGTTTATGTGCACCAAAGTCCCACCCCTTCCTGTCACTGTGACTTAAAGGCCAGCCTGACCTTGTCTGCTGCAGCTACAGCCACAGCCAGCTGCTTACAGCCTTTATTTCTGGGCTGCCTGTCCCTTGGTTGCTCCCTGCAGTACAGGTAGTGTTGCTTAAAGTAACAGGAGCCTCTTGTTCCCTTTTACACTGCTGTTCTTGCAGCCCCTCTTAACTAGGCATTCACAGATGGTACCCAGGTTGCTCGCTGCTTGTTAGGCTACTGTTTGGAAATACCCATCAGCTGGTCAGCTATGAAAACAAGAGCTCATTTCAAAGACAGTGTGCTAAAGGTTTCTGGGGGGGGGGGGGGGGGCACTTAGGATGACCTATGTGGTCTTTCTTGAAGGCCTATTGCTTACGTTTAAAAATTATATTGAGCAACTGAAATCTTTCAGTTTGCAGCTGAAATCAGATTTGGCCAAACTATGCCAAGGAAAAGATGAAATTTTCTGCAGAAAGCAGGAATTTCATGTGATAAATTCAATTTTGTTAAAAAACAACTTTGATGGAAAAAGTTTGATTAATCTTACTTCAATCTTTTTCATAGAAATCATAGAGAAGTAGGGCTGGAAGGGACCTCCAGAGGTTACCTAGTCTAGCCACCTGTCTGAGGCAGGATCACCCATATCCAAACCATCCTATACAATCCACAGTCCAAACTCTTAACCATCAGGTTAAATTCAGTAGGAAATTTGTCTGGGTAAAGGTTGAGGACTTGATTCTGCAAAGTAGTCTCAGTGTGTGCTGTTCGATTCTATCTCCTTTTCTACTGTTTGTGGGATTTGAATCTGTACCTGGATCAATGTAAGTGGACTCCTGAAGCCCTACATCTATTCACCTAGCTCAATAGGAAGGTATAGGAGTGTACAATCACAGATCCATTACAGAAGCTGGCCCTGTAAAATTTCAGGGAAGTGTTTAATTTGCTTAGGGGACTGTCTACCTAATCAATAATAGATAATACAGTCTTAAAGACCATAATCTGTTGGTAGTTTTGTTTGAGTAAAGTCTGTCCATGTTAGTGATAATGATAATTTGTTCCTTGGTGTTGGAAAAAAGGGCACTTATTCTAATTTTTTAGTCATTGGAGGGGGAATCAACAAGAATCATTTCCACGTAGCGATCCCTGATAGTGTTTCTGATGGCCAAGAGCTCCTGAATTGACAAAAACACCAAAACGCACATGGATAAAGATACAGACACCCTTCTTGTCATACAAGTTGTCATTGGAGCACTGGGAACTATTTTTATAATCAGTGTAAATTGAAAGATTGCACTATTTTTCAAAAGATCTCATGATTTCCATAAAAATTCCTTCACTGACTGATTTAGAATGGGTAATAGTCTTATAAAGTACAGAGTATCTCAGCTAGTTGGGGTTGCACTGAGTTTGACTTACAAGGGATATTTGTTGTAGGTTATATGTACTTGATGCTTTTAATATAACAAAATAAAATTAAATCCACTCACATTCGGTCAATAAAATCTCTTATTAGTACAATGAATTGAAAAAATGTTGTCAAAACCTTTTCTAATCATTCAGGATGGTAAAAATTCTACATTTTTACTGGTTGTTATGGCAAAAAATGTAATACAAATGAAAGTTCTTAGGGTGGCAAGTGCAACTCAGCTAGAATTGCAATGGCTGAGTATAGTCCTAGATTTCATCACTAGGAAGAAATTATTTTTAACAAGTAAAACTTTATAGCAAAATCAACTGTGTAGTTTCAATTATATTTCATACATATATATATATATATATATATATATATACACACACACACACACACACACACACACACACACACACACACACACACACACGGGCTGTATGAAATTTCACCAGTTGTTTTGTTTTGACGCTGTTTCAACTAGTTTTGAGCTCGAAACAGCGAAATTAAAATGAAAAGGGCTTCAAAAAAGCCTCAAAATGAAACATGGGCAGTTGAAACATTTCAGAAGTTTCAAAATGTTTTTGAGTTTCAGAGCTGAAGCTGGGATTGCCTGCAGGAAAACAGAAAGTAAGGAGAGGGAGGGGGACGGGGGTGGGGGGAAAGACTGCTCTGATATTGACTGTGACTGTTTGGCTGCCTGAGATGCTGTTGGTGCTACTGTGTTGCTTACTAAGTTATTACCTGTTGTCATTTAAAGCGGTGGACCAGGCTGAGGCTGTAGAGGAGGAGGAGGCCTCATTGGGACACACTACCGTGTCGTGTAGAGGCCCCAGCGCCACTGAGGGAGCACACCTTAACACACAGTCGCACGTCATGAGTTTTCTTTGGCAGCAGCTTGAGGTGCAGTTTCCCAGAAACCCCTATACCTATCTCCTTGAAACTTGGCAGGTGTCATGCCCTCAGAAGGGGCTACCATCCCTGCTGTTTTCATCCAAATCTGCCAAGAAATAACAAAGTTATAGGCAGATTTGTGCTTCCCCATTATAGCCTATGGGGGAATAGTCAAAACAGCGGAAGTTTCAACAAAACGAAACGGAACAGTGCTTCGAAAGGAAACGAAGCAAAACGCTGTCCCATTGAAATGGTGAAATGGACGTCGAAACGAAAGGGTGCTGTTTTGCACAGCCCTATACATACACACACACACACGTGTGTGTGTGTATGTGTGTGTGTGTGTGTGTGTGTGAGTGAAGTGATTCTTAATGCATGAATTTTAAGAACAATGCACTGAACAAAATAGTCATTGTTTCCCTTTCTACCATCTCTGTATAATCCTGAAGAGTGTTAATATCCTGAAGCCTATAATTTTAATGGTAAACACAGCATGAATGTGAGTAAATGCTGTTTTATAATAATAATTTTCATGCTGCAGAACCCACCTCCTGTTTTCATATGAGCATTACCCTCATTTGTTGTAAAAGAACACAAGAATTCATGTCTTAAAAGGTAAGTGAAAATGGAGCTAGTTTTCAATTCTCATTTTTATTCATTTGTATTTATAAGTCTACACACAAATACATTGTTACAATTTGGGATCCTAAACAGCCTTCATAAAGGAAATAATGCTCACTGTTTACCTTTATATAACACTATTTCCCCATGCCCTTCTACCAATTACTAGTGAAACCTGTTTGATGCTAATATAGCTGGATGAATGAAATACAGGCAGTCCTCAACTTACAATGTTTTGAGTTACAACGTTTTGCACTTACAACATTTCTAACTTGACATCCTGTTTCAATTTTCTGATGTCAGTTTCGACTTTACAATGCTTGATCCAACACCACACCACTCCAGCAAATAAGTTTGCTGCATCGCCCATTTCCCGTCTGTCCAAACTTCCTTGGACACTTTCTTTAAGAAAGCAGAAAAGACTCCAGAAAAACCTGCAGCCAAGACTCTTGAGAAGACTCCAGCCAGGAGCCCTTCAAAAAGTCCAAAGTCACCTCAAAGAAGTCCTTCCAAATCAATATGATTGCTATTTACAATATAAATATGTTAATGTAGCTATATTACTCATCTATAATTGATTGAGTACAAAATTCTGGGTTATTTTTGGTGAAAATAGGGTATCAGGCCTTGGTTCAGGAACTAATCCCCCATTTATTACATTGTTTCCTATGGGAAAAATTGGTTCTGAGTTGCAACGTTTTGACTTAAGACATGGTTCTCAAGAACCAATTGTGTCGTAAGTCAGAGGACTGCCTGTAGTCAAGCAACTAAATATATTTGTAAAACCACACTGGATTGGAAATCCTGTTGGCTTAAGTTCTTTATCACTCAGTAATACTTTGCTTCTTGTAAGAAGCTGTTCAACACTGAAATTTATCACAAGTTTTTATATAATTAGGTTAACTGTTAAAAGTCGTGAAAAACCAACTGAAACTTAATCTGTATTTGCTTGGCACTGATTAGTGGTGTTTTTTCATTACTACCTTTATACTAGACTGTAAAAACCTGAATTTTGTAGAGTTGAATTAAGCTTAGACACTCACAGATGCACCCTTCCTGTAAATAAACTGCTAACCTGGAGGGAGGAAATGTTTTTCACCACCCTAGGCTGTAATATACCAAGAGAAATTTAACTATCAAGACATGTTGGCCAAATAATGCAAGGCTTAATTGTTTAAAGTGCCAATTACCATTTGAAAGACAAGACATGGTTTCACTGGAAATTGAGGGGGCTGGTATTTTGCAAACAGAACTTGGGACCCTGTAGTCCGAGACCAACAATGTGCAAAGGGAACAGTAATATCTTTGGCCCTTTGAAAACCTTTAGTTATAGGTCACAAGTGCAGCTTTGATGGTAAAAACCAGTGATGACCCCCCCCCACCCTTTCCATTCTTCCCCTGGCTCTTCAAGGCACCTGGATCCTGCTATATGGCAAAACTCCCACTGATTTCAGTAGGAGTAGATCTAGTCTTAGTGTAAAAATATTCCTGTCAGATCACATAATAAAGCAATGGTATAAAGTAATAAGGAACAATTTGGAGTCTGTAATCCTAATAAATCTATCTTTGCATTCTGCTTTGTATCTCTGCCAATTTAATCTGAATTAACTTGCATCTGATGTACTGGAGACTTCACAGAATTCGGCATTACAACAACAATAATTGCTTTATAACAGTAACCAAATATAGGACTATGTTTCAATTAAAGGGGCCACTATATTCAATTTAGACATGATAAGACAGTTGCTGAGAGGATAAATACCAATTATTAAAGTGTTTATGGCCCTGTTCTCTAGGTAGCAATTAGTCTTGAAAAGCCTTACTCACAAGAGGTTGTCTCATGCCTGTTTGAACGCAGCCCTGACTGTGGTTAAGAGTACTGGGCGGCTTTTGAATTCACAGGCCACTGTAGGATTATCTCTATGCCACTACTACACTGTGCACCTAAATGCTTAACAGAAGCATCCTCTGTTAGTTCTTACTAGCATAAGTTGCCTCTTGGACCCCGCCGTGGGACTTTGTGGAAGAACTCCTCATGTCTACAATGGTGTAATTCAGCTGCCAATGGTGGTATTGACAGTTACACTGTTGAAGAAGTTAGAAGCTGGCTCCATTAACAATAGTTGCATGAAAGTATAAAGAGAATGGGTGCTATATTTGAGATTCAGAGGCTGAACTTTCTTTCAGAGAAACAGTTAAACTTCGGCAAGCTGTATGTAAAAGGGTCCAGAAAAACCTGTATAAATTCACAAATGAGCATATTTATTTTAGAGGCAATGATTTTTGTGGGTGATATCTTTTACTGAACCAACTGCATGGGTGGGATACATTTAGACAAGATTTCAAATTCATTCTTCAGGTCAATGAATTGCCTCACATTTTGAACACTTGTCTAAGCCTATCCTAGATATACATTTGGTCCAATAAAAAGGTAAAACAATCCTTGCCTCTTACATATTTTCTGGACCAACATGACTACAACATCACTCCAATACTACATATTTATTCTAGTCACTTACTAATATTAAATTAAGCAAGTATGTTGATGTGCATTAAGTGTGACCAGCAGAGGGTTCATAAAGAGTCAGTGGACAGGTATAAACAAATAAAAGTAGTTTAAAAAAATGTAATTTAAAACAAACAAAACTAAAATTACATTAAAAAAATTAAGTACTCAAAAACTCTAAATTAGCCAATGACACAATTCCTACATCAATTTGTTTTGGTGGCATTTTTGCGACAGGGATGTCATCCAGGATCCTATATCCAGTTAAATGTCAATGATACTAATGAAAAGCAGACAAGACTATACAAAAAAAGCCTGATACATAAACCTGGAACCATATTCAAATTTGGCAGGAAGTCTGTGTGTGCACACGTGAAAGAAAAAGACAACATCACTATTACAGATATGAAGCTATGGATTGTGCCATTTTCCATGCTCCAAGGTGAAAAGCACTGTTAATAAAAGGGGAAATGGAGACTAAAAAGGGAAAGAAATCAAAGAGAACTTTAAAAGTCCCTCTTTCATGATTAATAGTCCTCAAAAGGCAAATGTTGCATGCACTAGTTCGCCAAGAAGCTAGACACAGCTCTTCCATTTCCAATGTATTCCCTTTCTTTTATTTTCATGAAGACAGGTTTGAGAAAGCAGACCGCTGGGAAGAAATGCTACAAACTTCTAAGTTAGTGAAAGAACTTCCAGCTTCACTAGTATATTCTGGGTAGGAAGAACTGGAAGAGATTATGTTTTTCAGCCTTTGAAGTGCAATAATCAATAGCAGAAGAAGAAAAGCTAAGAGACTGAGAAATATAGAAACATAGACATAGACATTTGATAAACGGCCAGACGATGAATCCACTGAAGTTGACAAGGATGTGGGATATAGCTCTAGAAAAGTCCCATTTTCCATGTTTCCTACAAACCCAGATGAAGGGTCAGGTTCTGACATTTTGGTCTGAGTGTTTTAAAAACCGGGAATTGATCTTGAATTCAAAGGCTGTTCAGTGACATAAAGGATGTATTCTAGATTCTTTCATTTTGCCATCTCAGTGCAGGTATACCAAGTCACTACTCAATCACGTTTATCCTTCACTTCTCAAATCCGGGAGTAATGCAAGATACTGTATCCATTAGAACTGCAATGAAAAAAAAAGAATATACAGTTAATTTACTACTGTCCAATATGAATTGCTTGCCTAATGCACTATTACTTCAAACCTTCTTTTAATTTTTTCCTTAAAGTTGACCTTAAGACAACTGATGATGATTTCTGTTTTGTTTCGATTCCCCAAGCAGGGAAAAGAAGTGAAGTTTTTCCCATAAATTATTTCGAATATACCCTTTTAAAGAGAGATCAGTGCAATCCAACAATCTCTGAACTTTGTATGGGAAAGAAGCGCTCAACAACCCCAAAGCTGTATTTCACTGCCGATGATATCTGTATGAAACCAGTTGAAGCCCCGAATCCAAGCACCCTCAATATTTGTGGGGTGAGGAGAGGTTTCATAATACAGATTTGAATTTTTTGCCCAAGGCTGTCCCCTATTTATGTCACCCAGTCACATGTGCCAGTCTACAGGATGCTCAACCTATGCTGTAATGGATGTTACTCCTATTGCTTGCAAGCCTTGCAGGAGGATAGAATGACTGGGCAAATGCCGTTTCATAATATACAGTGAAAGGCTGTGTTATAATGTGAATTCCTTCATGTCAGGGAATCTTTATCAAAGGCAGGATTTCAGGAACTGACCACACTACAGAATGCAACCAGTAAGTCTTAAAACTGAGCTCAGAAGGAATTTATCTTGTGGACAAAGCTAAATAAGGAATGAAAAATTCTCCTTAAGAACTTAAGCTTGCAATCTCAAAGTAGAGTTGTTCAGCAAGGTTACAGATAGGAAATCTACTGCCACTATTACACCCATGTCTCTCCAACAAACAGAATCTGGGACTTTGCTCATTTAGTTATTTTATACAGGTCTATAGTATGGTTATCTATTTTTTTCCAAGACTGAAAAGCAGAAATTAGTCACTAGCATACTGATCCACGGTTGATTAGGTGCCTCAGTAAAATACAGTTTTCAGGCAAATCCTTCCCTATACCCACACCCAGAGGCAAAAATCAGAGCAAACAAATGGGCCTTCTGCTTCAGCAAAGTCAAGGCTAAGGCAGTCTTTTTAGCTTCAAGGCACCCCTTGTTAGATTAGAGGCACCTCTTGGAAAGTGCCAGCTTTTAACTTCCACTCATTTTTTGACTAAAGAAAAATACGAGGGCAATTTTTCTGTTTCAAAGAACTCCAGAAAGACCAAAAAGAGTCAGAACGGTTTTGATACTATGGATTCCTATTTGATACTATGGATTCTGGGTTTGTCTTCTGAAACATGTCTGTACCCCTAACAGTTCTAATATTGTATGGCACCTTGCAGCACCCTTAAAAGGACCTCAGGGCACCCCAGGATGCCATGGCACCCTAGTTGAGAATTATTGGTCAAAGGAAGAAACTCCAAAGATGCAGGGAAATATTTTGTCTCCAGCCCCTCACATTTGGATTTAGAAGCTCAGATGCACTCAACAAATCTCAAGAAGTCAGTGTAAAATGTGAGTAGGGAAGAGGCCTGTGTTGGGGTTCCTTTCACCAACTTGCTAAATTATCAGTGCAGATGTGCTTCATGAGCATAAGGTGAAGCTTAGTGACTGCTAATATTCTGATTTGGTAGCGCTTAATCCCACGGTTGGCTAACTTTGTACTAATATCACAGCTCCACAAGGTACAAGAGGATGGAGAATCAATTACATTTTCTATACACAGTAAACTAATCCCGACACTGTCTACACATGCTTTTTTACCATTGGATAGTAACTGAGTCTGACGGACTATCTGACAGCGCTGTAAATTAGTCTTCAGCAGCCCAATTACTGTGTACGCGTAGACGATGATGCTTTACTATGCAGTAAATGAGTCTACTGCACAGTAAAGTGCATATGTAAACGCGCCCACTAGGTGTAGCTACACATTCATCAATGTGCTGTAATTATGGTGCATTAAGTTTAGTACCTGTAATGACAGGTGTAGCAGAAAGCCCCTTTTCCTCTTGCCTGCAGTTGCTCTCCCCTACTTGGATGTTTTTCCTCTTCTACCTTTTCTTCCTTCCTCTTTCTTTCACTTTAAGATAAGGAATTGTGTTTTGAAATTTGTGTGCGCGCATTTTGTATCTCCCCTTGTATTTTGGTATTTATCTATTTGTGTGCCATGGCATTACTTTTGTAGCTTATATTTTATACTCCTCACCTTTCAACTTTCAACTAAATGTGTTTAGTTTCATAAGTAAGTTATACATTGTAACAATGTTAACAAGGGCAGGAATCAAACTGCCCTTCCCTGTATTAGGCTGGCCCCTGAAAGAGCGAGTGAATCAATGACTGAATGTGTAACACGGTAGCAGGCAGTAATTAACACCTAAGGAAACTGCAGATCAACCAAGGGAAGAACTCAATAGAAGACAATGTAGCAACCGGGACATCCCTAAACATCACTGATCAAGGGCTAGAAGCCCTGGCCTGAGTTATTCAGCCCAAAAGTTGGTCCCCGGCATTGATTATCTCCAAATCGACCGCTCCCAGAGCCCTATTCAAAATTCATCAACGGATTCCCAAACCTGCACGTACATGCGGACGACCCCTGGGGCTGACAGATGCCATCCAGTAGCCACTGAGGGGGGAAGTCCCACGAGGGTCAACGACCCCTGGATTGGGCAAACCTGAAAACTGGGGAGTCACCAAAGTCTGCCAAGGACAGATAAAAAGCAGTGAAAAGTGACCCTCAGTGGCGCCCTCTTGATCTCCAACTTGACCAGCACCCGACCTGTCTAGCCAGACGGACCAGCCGGCGACCCCCTTCTGGAAGATAACACCACGCTGAAAGAAGCCTCAACGACAGACTCCAGCGCCTGTGGGATAGGTATACCTGACTCTTGTAGCTTCCTACCGTGTGTGTGTGTGTGTGTGTGTGTGTGTGTGTGTGTGGAAGGACCAGCCCCAAGGTTTATGATTTAACTCATTACAGTGTTTCAATCCGCCTAATAAACCAGAATTTTAAGGATCCCGAGTTGGACATTTGTAGCCAACGCAGGTACCAATTTAATGTGGCTTAATTGGTACTACTGTGCATTAACGCAGATGAACACTTTTTTAGTGATGCTAATGTGCATTAGACTAAATCTGCTGAGCATTAGCACCGGTTTTGCCTCCGTGCTAACACACAGTAGAATTAGTCTTCTGTGCATTAAGTGTCTCATGTACATGTGCCCATTGAGTAGCAGTTTACTACATGGATAAACCCTTTGACTTCAATAGGGCTATCTGCAGCATAGGTATCACTTGATACGAGTAGAAGTGGCAAAATCAAGTCCTTAAAATTACTACATTATTTTGTGGTCTTTGTTTCAGATGCCACACTAAAGCTAAAGTATCTTGCTATGTTTCCATGAAAGTGTTCCAACACTTTTACCCAGGATGCTTTTACCTTATAATTTTACCTTTGAAACTTATATTTCCTGTCAGTTCTCTTAACTTAATTAAGTATCTATTTCTTCAAGAGGCTGACATTTTCACAGGCTGTGACAAAAGCAGGAATCCATGCTAATGATCCTCAAGAAAGATAAGACATGTTTCTGCTGGTGCTGTTTCTTCTCTGGCAGACTAATAAAGGCCTTAAGAGGCACCTATTGAGAGTGCTAAGAAATCTGCCTTGTAGTCACTATAATCATTTGCATATGGTTACCCATCATGCTTTGCACTGCAAGTTAAAGTAGGAGGCTATGCTATATGCCATAAATAGATTTAAGTTTTGTCACTGTTACTTAGATACTAAGTGGCAGATGGAGTATAATGATACCATTCTTTTTCTTCTGTAATCCTGATTTTGTTTCCTATACCTAGATATCCGAGTGAGAGAATGAATTACAAAATCTAAGTAGATAAATACACTACCTTTGTTGTACTGTAGAACTAGTTTTATATACAGGCTTCCCAGTGGCCCAAGATGCATCTACTAAATAGTAAGAGGTGTAAAACTGCACCAATGGATTTCAGGTACTAAAGGCTGTCATTTTATATGGTATATAACTTTATACTAACTTATAAAATATATTGGGGAAAAATTGTTTTAACTTTGGTTTTACTTTCCCTGAGAACAGTATTTAAAGCACGTTGTGAAATCACTTATAGCAGACCCAGTAGGGAGAGATACTTTGGTACTATCCTTAACTTAGTGGTTCAAGAAGAACTAGTGGAATAAAACGTGCTGATTTCATATTCTGTAGTTAGTTGAGTGTCTTACAGCAAAGCTTATCTATGAAAGCAATTTAGCTATCAAAGATTTTTATCCTTGGTTAATCAGAGTGAAATACAGATCCTTCATTAATTGCATTTCTCTATAATAATTTATGGAATTAATTCACATAGATATTTTAATTTGGAAAAAAGTTAGAAGGCTTGTTTAGAAATCTTTATAAGACTTTCAAACAGATATGCCTTTCATTTACAGTTAAGCATTTTGACCTCAACTCAACAAAGCATTTTGGCCCCTGGCTAGCTCTAAGCATGAGAGTTATTCCATTAACTTGAATAAGACTAATCATAAGCCTATAAACAAGTGCTGAGTTGTCTCCAAGTCCTTTTTGTTGCATAGCATTGATTAGATGATTTTTCTTTTTTCCTATACACCGAAAACTTTATATTTTATCTGACAGTGATACAAAAATCTCATATTCTAAATGTCAAAAGGCCAGAACTTTGAGAATCAAGAGAATCTGGTCCAATGTATATGTGAAATAAAAGGAACATACTTGGTACACTTGTACACGTGATGCCATTAACATGTACACATGACGAAAATGCCACTGTGTAGCTTAATGGTATCATAGCCTATACATGCAAAACTTTTAGGGGGGTTAAATGACTGCATTGTTGCAAACTAAACTACATGTGGATGTAGTTTAGTTTGTGATGTTGCAAATTGCAACGATGCAGCTGTCAGCACCCCCCCCCCCAGCCATGGGAGAGGCAGGCAGGCTCCGCAGAAAAAAAAGGATTGGGCCCCTCACTGCTTCTGCCTTCAGCAGGCACCTAATCTT